GGCGGCGGCTCCAGCCGTAGCGGCGACGATGCACTGTCACTCAACCGTTTTCCCTTCCCGCCGATCTTTCCCTCCGTTCCGTTTGATTGTAACGCCGTGATGACGGACTTTAGAGCTCTGCTTGGGGAGCTCCGGTTGACTATCATCAACTCTCCGATCGCCGCCGGACTCATTGTTGCGCCGCTATGGAAAATCTCCTCTACTTGTGGAAACAGCTTGTGCTCCTTAACACCCAGATAATTGTTTGCTAAATATTTGAAGGAATTGAAATCACAGAAAGGGAAGTGTATGTGTACATCGATTCTTCCTGGCCTAAGCATCGCTGGGTCAATTTGATCTTTGCTGTTCATCGTGAAAACCATTATCTTCTCGTCGCCGCAGCAAGAATTTACAATTCCGTCCATGAAATTGAGCAACCCTGATAAGGTCGTCGTCGTTAATTTCTCGTTGATCAATCGATCGAGATCTTCGATAACAATTAGGGATCTGCTTGAAGTTTGTAGCAAAAGGAGTTTGAGATCTGAATCATCGGAAACTCTGGATAAATCAATGTCGTAAACATCGTAGTTCAAGAAATTCGCCATGGCGCCGATGAAGCTAGATTTTCCGGTTCCGGAAGGACCATAAAGTAGGTAATTACGCTTCCAAGCACGGCCCATTTTGTGATAGTAGTTTTGGGATTTAATAAAGTTTTCAAGATCGGATTTTACCTTGTTCTTGAGATCTGCGTCCATGGCTATGGTGTCCAAAGTAGAATGATGTGTGAAGGGAACAGATCTCCACCGTCCGTTTACGGGATTTTCCGACGGCCCATTATTGATAAACAATTTCAATTCACTTCTTCGCTGTTCGATATCATCGGAGACGGTATGAATATGCTGAAGATACGGCCGGAGAGTCCTGCGTTTATCCTTCTTCTTAATCCTCAACAAGAAACTCCGATTACAAACTCCCCCATGATCGAATCTTTCAACTTTGTTCACCCAATCAACTCTTGCTCCAAGAAATTCATCTTGAATCACCTGATTATCATCCAGAGATAGAATGATATCAGTAGATTTCTTACCGGAGAACAAATTAGTGAAATTTGAATCTTCGATGGATGGCAACGAATTGATATAAAGGAAGACCCTCCGGTAGAACTCATTGTTCTGGCCATTTTCATTGAGCTCTGCGACTTTAAGATACTGATGAACATGAATTCTGTCATCCACCCAATTCATCCATTTCCGCAAAACTAAAATCAAAGCTGTTCTGTACAAGATAAATCTAACAAGAAACAAAAAGCAAGGAACGAAGAAGAGAATCAAAAGTATATTTACAACCAACATGGTGCAATAAAGTTGGAATCTTTCGCCGGAAAATTAACAAAAAGAGTTCATATTGTAGTATATTTATCTGATGAAGAGGGGCGGAGTAGTCGGTGAAGAAGTTTATCGAAGAAGAAAGTGAAAGTAAGAAGGTTTATATAGTTTTTAAAAAAATACACTGTGCTTGTTTTGGTGTCAGCCTAGCAACTTTCCAGCCATAAACACAGTTGACACTATTTTTTCCTCTGGCCCATCAATTGGAAAAAAAAAAAACTTTTCTTTCTATACTTTTTTATATTTATTTTCTCTTTTTCCAAAATAATTTTGGGTACCTCGGAATTTATATAAGTGGTATTGACACCATTATTATAATTTGGCTCGTATCAAGAAGGGTTTGTGATGAGTGCTAAGCAAATTATTCGGGAGCGATTGGGATTTTTGTGTAAATTTAAATTTAGTCAAATTTTAATGTGGATATCAAATATTGATTAATTTTTTTTATATAAAAATAAGGCTCGTAAGTGAATTAGTATTTGAAATTATACTTCATTCATTTTCCATTAGTTGTAATATTTTTTGTTTAAATAAATTTAAATCATTTTCAAAGTTAAATTAAATAAGATCAATTGATATTTTATATTTAAAATAAATATATTCAAAAAATATATGATGAATACTAAGTAACAATTTTTCTCATGTTAATTTCATGGGAAAAATATTTTAAAATATTAATTAAAATTTATATAGTTTCTCTAAAAAAAATTGAAATATGACAACTAATATGAGACGGAGAAAGTAGGGGTGTGCGAAAATTGAACCGATCAATAAATCGAGTCAAAAAAAGTTATTGGTTTATTGGGTTGATGGGTTTTTATGGGTTTTTTTAAAAAAATAATTGGGTTATTGGTTCGGTTTCGATTTTTAGTATTGGGTTATTGGATAATCCGATAAGGCAATAACCCATTAAAATAATAGTAATTTCCTACTTTACCATTCATAAACATAAAAATTTAATAATCTAACATGACTTGACACTATATCAATACTACACTACAATCTACATAATTAAATATTATCTTTCTTATTTCACTGTATCAAAACATTTATAATTGATTTGTTTGTTCCATTGTATCGTACCAAATTATTAGAGAAGTGAGAAGTGATCATATATTTATTTTATAAGCATTTTCTTATTGAGTAAAATAAAAATCGAACCGTTAGCAATCAAAAGTCGATAAAAAATATTCCATTGATTTGTTATTGATTTAGCATATTTAAAAACTGAAAATCAATACACTAAACTGATAAAACCGATCGATGCACACCGAGAAAGTAACGATGCATACCTCTCTAGCAGAAAGTGTTACACTAGTTTTATGGTTTATTTTTAACTCGGGATAAGGGTCTGAAAAATACCCCAACTTTGGTCGGATTTGTTGTTGTGATACTAAACTTTCATGAGGACCTATTACCTCCCTAGACTATTTAATACAGTATTTTAAACATATATATGTGCCCACGTGGACATAAAAATAATGCAAAATTATAAATAGTAATGTGTCCACGTTGCCACATATATAACTTTAAAATACACTATTAAATAATTCATGAGGTAAAAAATACGGTATTAAATAGTCTAGGGAGGTAATATGTCCTTATGAAAGTTTAGTATCTCAACAACAAATTTGACCAAAATTGGGATATTTTTCAAACCCTTATCCCTTTTAACTCAAACAAGTTGTGATTATTAAAGATATATTGACACATATATAATATACTTCTTTTTAAAAGTAGTGTTGGATGACATTTCTTGTGAGAAAATTTATTTATATGTGGTACTTGAAGTTTGATGGGATAGTAGAACCCCACGTCTAAATATAAGTGATACACCGTGCATTTGTGACCATTCTCTTCTTCCTTCTTTCCATAAAACGATAATTATGAGTATGACTTGGACAACCTTTTCTACCCATTTTAATTTTTAGGCATTCTATAATGAATAAAAATGCATATATTTTTTATACCATAGTCATGACTCATGTGTTTATTGGGCACGAAGATGAAGACAATGGTTTTTTAGTTGACTTTTCTTGTGGAATTAGTATATGAATGGGTAGGTTCTTCTATACAATATGTTTATTGTAGTTTTCTTCCACAGTACGACTCTACTCGCAATTACCCTATTTTCTTAGACTTATAACTACTTGGCATGACAAGTCATATTCCTTTTTAGTTGCTAAGCATGAACGGTTCAAGTTTATAAAATGGCATGCTATGCTTTTAAGGCATGTTGTTAATTATATTTTCATATTGGTAGATTCAAGAATAAGCTAACTAATTTATTTATTTTTATCTAGGAGTACATAAGTAGATCAATTTACATAAGAAAAAATAGAATAAAGACAGTGTAAAGGTATGTACTAAAAATTATTGTTTATATCAATTCAGAAAATACATGACTAATATCTTCACATATACTCTTATCACTTAGAATATTCATACCATAATATACAACTTAATCATAATAAATTAGCATAGTTTGATGTGAATTTCGAGAGTGAACACATATTTTTCGTATAAAAATGTTGTTACCTTCCTGCTACAAGAAAAAACCCATATTTCTTTAACTTAGATGCTACTATTAATTATTATGTTACATTAAAATTTAAATATATAATCGGATCCAGAGAATTAAAAATAATCGCGGAATTCTGAATTTGTTACTTTAAATGTTTGAATTCAGCACTCACTTTTTCTTCTTCGCATTATATCATATTCAAACTTTGACAAACATATTTCATCATTCTTAGCTTCTTTTTTCTCGATTCAACAATTTTCGACCGGTTGAATCTATTCACCCCTAATTTAGACACAATTGTCAACCTAATTCAGTCTTTTTCACATTTTATTTTTCTTGTAGTCATCGTAATAGTTATTCCTTCTGTTTTGATATATGTGATTACTGTTTTCGTTTCAGATCCTGTTTGACCATAATTTTTTAATAAAAAATTGAAAATAATGTTTGCTCGTGAAATTTGGTCCTTTTTTTAAAGAAAAAAAAAGTTTCAAAATTTGGTCTAGATTTTTGGGTGAAATTTCACTTGCACTCAGAAAATATAAAAAATTTAAAGTAAAATACATGTCTAATCACAACATTAAATTTCAAAACTAATTATATTTTTAATAAACTTCAAAAACTTTTTTTTTCTTCTCCAAGTTTTAATTAAATCTATCGACAAGTACTTAGTCTGTTCAGAAAAGAATATCATTTTCTTTTATATAATTAGAAGTAATTTAACTTTGAATTTTCGTGTTTACCTTTAATGAAATGATTTATAAGTACATAAATTTCCAAGACTTGTTTTAGGCTACAAATTTTAAGTATATTTTTTTATTAAAAAAAAGCAAATTAAAAATGATATCACATAAATTGAAACGAACAGAATAAGAGCTGCTTGGGTTGGCTTAAAAAGTACCCTTTAAGTAAAAAAATAAAAAATAGGGAGAAACATACTTTTGATTTTTAACTTTTTCTAAAGTCCTTTTTAATCCTGTCAAACACTTTCAAAAGTTTAAAATTACTTTAAAATAGGTTTAAATCAACTTTTAAGTCAATCCACTCTCATACAATGAATTTGTGTGGTCAAACTTGTTGACCCAAGTCTAACACTCTCTCCGTCCAACAATAGTTGTGCACTATACTATTTTGAAATGTCCAACAATACTTGTTCACATTATGAAATCAGTGGATAATTTTACACTTAGTTCCAAATTTACCCTTATCATTAATTATAGTCATTTCTATATTAGATTTTTCAAGACATTGTATTTAGTATTATATTCAAAGGGTGATATAGTAAAATCTATTTATAGTCTTTTAAGAAGCTTACAAAGTCAATAGTAGATAAATATTATTAAACATGGACATAACATTGACACTCTAAACGCAATCTTCCAAGTGGCAAATTAACTCAATTAGCTTTTAATAATGATGAGTGACAAGCTGATCCATTTACAAATTGAAAATGATCCCCTTCCTTTATATGTCTGACTCAGGATTATCTTTTGAAATACAAACTCTTCAAAGATTAAACGGCTAAGTAACCCCTGATTTAGTCCAAAATCCAATTTCTCATCACAATTAATTAGCATTAATCCCTTACAGAAAACGACAAGCTGGATTAGCTAATCCCCCTTGGCCCTAATTTCATACTTTTCTGGCCCAGCCGAAAGGTACCTTTAATTTGTCTGCAAAAAAGTCTTTTATTTTTTTCCATCTATCAAATTTTCTTGTACTTTTTTTTTTATATTCTATGTTTTCTCTTTAGTTTAAAAGAAAAAGAAATTAAAACAATTCTTTTTTTGTTTTGTTTTATAGCAAACTATTAATTCAAATTAAATGCTATAAATATAGTTTGATTTAATTGTACCTCATAGCAAACTGTTGCTATTTCACCTCTCTCCTGGTGAATCTCGCTCGCCACTCTCGTTCTCTCCCTCGCCTCTCTCATTTTTTATACAAACGCAAGTGTATAAAGTGTGTTTGTGTTTGTATAAAGCGAGAGAAAACTGTATATACA